ACAGAAAATCAAAGTCAACAAGGAGGGGGAAAGGGGCACCATTTGCTCAAATCACAAAAGCAATATGAAATTAGTGAAGAATGGTCTCTAAGACACATAAAGAGAAACATGGAAACAGAAGTCATACGGGAACACTGACAGGCCTTATTCCTGTCCCACAGGTCCTTCCAGGTTTTGCTACTCCCTGGGGAAGATGCAGAACCCATGCCCCTCTTCTTGAATTTGGGGAGGGGGAGGCTCTGACTGCTTTGACAGAGAATGCTGCAACTGGCATCTGAGGTCCAAAACGAGGTATAAAAGGCAATGCAGCTTCTGCTTGGCTTTCTCCGGGGATGCTTGCCCGCCCTGGCACCCCAGTCACATGGAGAAGAACAGGTATCCCTGGCACCACCAGCCCCGCCCCGGGGGCACGTTGAGATGGCGACTGAGACCAAGTGTCGTGGCGTGCACCTGGAATCCCAGCGCTTGGGAAGCTGACAACAGGAGAAGCAGCGCAAGTCCCATCTGCGTAGTGAGACCCTGTAGGCTCTGGACTAAACACAGGGGCCCCACTGTCAGCCCCAGCTGGGATTCATTCAACAAGCCGCACAGGAGTGAACTGCCACGCAAGCACATCCTCCAGTCCACAGTCCTCCTCTTGCCTGTGCAGGTCGCCCTGCTTGGAGCAGACAGCAGCCTTTGCCTACTAAACCTTTCCAAATGACAAATTTGTGAAGAAAATAAGTAAATGTTATTGTTGGAAGCTACCACTGCTGATGCCGGTTGTTACACAGGACACCTTGTCAAGAACCTCTATCCATCAGATCCCCTGGGCCCAGGGGCAGCCCACACGCACCTCAGCTGGCCACGTGGGTGGCCAAGGGCAGCTCCGACTCCTGGAAGTGTGCGTATAGAGCAATACACTGCCCGTGGGGCCCTCCTGCGGCGGAGCCGGCAGTCTTCTGCTTTGCAGCTGCCTGGCCCAGGGAGCAGCTATCATTTAGTGAGCAACGGTGGAGTGGAAGAGGGGCCAGGAGCTGGAGGGAAGGCCAAGGGGTGGCGCAAGGGGCACCTCGCCTGGCAAGCAGAAAACCTGCTGCAGAGCCGTCATTCTGGGGCACCTGCTGCACGATGCCAGTCCTGAGTCCCATTTATTGTACTAACTTGAAATTATCAAGAAATGATTCAGTCACCCCTGCCTGTTCTGCCCAAGGGCACCAGGAAGTTTAGTGTGGTTTTAAAGGATTCTCATCTGACGCAAGAGAGAAAGAAGTGTTCATATACAGAGAGCGCTAAGTGCTGAGGGCTGGCAAGGAGGCTGGGGCCAAGCATTTGCTAGGCCCCATTTCTCTCGTCAGTCCCATGCTCCTGATCCCAACAGCTGACAGCCCAAGCGGAAGGGAATCTGGGGAAACTGGGCGCAGAGTGGCAAATGGCACTTCTGCAACGGTTCAAGACATTCAGCTCCAGCGCAGAGGAAGGCAGCTCAGGGCAGCGGGCAGCACCAAGGGCCGTGGCTGGCGACGCCACGTGGCCCTTTTTGCCTAGACAGGTTCACACAGGTCCGGGAGTGGCCTCTTCCACAAGAATGGGAGCAGCCAAGCAAATAAAACCTCCAGCCAACTAAAGGCGCAGGAGAAACAAAACACACATTCCTCAGTAAGGACAGAAATGTGGTCATGGGGCTAGGGAGATAGCTCAGTAGAATAAGCATTTGCCTGGCAAGTGCAGGGTCCTGAGTTCAATTCTTGGCACCGCAAAAAAAAAAAGAAAGAAAGAAACATGGTCGCTATCAGAGGTCAAACCCAAGCAAGCGAATGTGAGAAGGAAGCTGCCTGCTCCAGAGAATACTGGGTACAGGAAAGGCAGGTGGCCTCAGGCCGCGCCCCTGCCTCCTTCTCTTGCCCTCTTCAATGAGGAAGGAGGCCTCAGAGCTGCTAATGCTCTTCTGGGAGTAGTCCAGCCACATTCTTTTGCTTTGACACAGGGTCTCACTATGTGGTTCAGGTTGGCTTTGAACTCATCAGGCAGCCCAGGCTGGCCTCAGGCTTGCCACGATCCTCCTGCCTCAGCCCCCTTGGGGGTGGGCGCCTCGAGCCGCTTGCTGGCGGCCCCAGGGTGCTCCCCCAGGCCACTCACTGCCTCACACCCCCGTCTCTGCCCAACACTCCCCTCCTCAGCCCACTCCCCACAGTGCCCTGAGGGCTGCGATCTTTGCCACCTGCCTGATGCTTGCTTCTTGCTGACTGCCTGAGCAGAGCACCAAGCCTCGAGGTCAGGGCCCTTCTCTATCCTGCTATCACTGCACCCAGCGCCTCGAACGAGGAGGACCCAGCACAACACGGGGCCTTGACCCCTGCGGACGAAGGAGCGGGCTGCAGACATGACACAAAGGTCCGGCCGGGCAGCTTTACCTTCTTGCCAGCCGTGGGGCTGCTCTCTGCACTCTGCTCGGGGCTCCGGTGCGGGCTGCGACTCTCCTGGGGCACACACCTGCCCATGTACACGCCGTAGTCCAGCAGCATCTTCTGCCGCACGCTGCCCACCAGCTCCTTCTGCTTCGGCTGCGTCATGATCTCCTCCACGCTGCCTTTGCTGCTGCTGCGGCTGTGGGTCAGGTGTCCAGAAGGACTGCTGTGCCTGCTGTGGGAGGGCAGGAGCCCTGGGGCAAAGAGGTGACAACTTTAATACAGCAGAAGGAGGCCCCAACCTTAGACCTACTGGGGTGACAGCAGAGGAGCTAATGTACCATCGAGTGACAGTGTACAAAGTGTCTTCAAGGGCTGGGCATGCCGGGCACCCGAGGTCCAGCACTCAGGAAGCTGAGGGAGAGGGAGGGTCCACAAGTTTGAGCCCGGCCTGGGCACCTCAGTGACCACTGGAGACTCTCAAAATGGAAAAGAAAAAGCCAGCGCATGTAGCTCAGTGCAAAGGCCCTTCGTTCAACCACAGTACTAGGAGAAAAGAATCTAATCAAGTCATTTTATTTGTGATAGGTTCTAGCCCTCTGAAATGAAACTCCCAGGGCCTCACAGAGTTATATGAGTCATTTCTTAATTTAAATTTTAGTTAGTTAATTTTTAGGTATTGCTTGGAATTTTACCTTGAACTCAGAATTTTGTATAACCCTTTATCCTCCTCACGTCACTCGACTGTTAATATCATTTTTTAATGTTGCGATAAAAGCTCCGCCAGAGGGCTGGGGAGACAGCTCGGCAGTCGCAGCACCTGCCGAGCAAGTGCAAGGACCTGGGTTAATTCCCAGCACCACGTGCCTCCTCAGCCCGGATACCGTGCCAGCCACCAAAACTGGGAGTGATGGCACATGCCTGTAATCCCTGAGCTGGGGTGCCTGAGACAGGAGGATCACTACAAGTCTGAGCTGCTTAGTGAGGCCCTGTACCAAATAAATAAATGAATTAAAAGATTAAAAAAAATTTTTTAAAAAGCTCTTTCAGAAATATTTGCACCTGCTGATCGCTGGAAGTTTAGGTCAGCCTCAGCTACACAGTGAATTCAAGGATAGTCTGACCTGTACAGTAAGGCCCTGTCTCAAAAAACAAAAATAAAACAAATAATAACAACAACAACAACAACAAATAAAACCCCTCCAAAACTCAACTGATAAATACTGAGTGCACTGTGGTAGTCTAGACAAAAACTCGGAGGAGAAGAAGGGCATTAGTGGAAAATACAGTGAAATCCAAGCCTAGTGCACTATTTGAAAAAGAAAAACAGGGTGGAAGGTCACCAACCCCTGAAGCCAAGTTGATCCCCACAGGCCTGCTCCGCGGGCCCCTCCCCAGGATGGAAGGACGCAGAGCCTGTAGGCCACTGGGCTGTGGAGTGGAGCAGCCTCCACACGCTCGGCCTGCAGCGGAATGGGCCGCCTCAGTCTCCTGGACTTCGGCTCCCGGCCATGGCTTCAGATCTGGCCAGGCTGGAATCACTCTGCCCCAGCACTCCCGCTCGTCCTGGAACCTGGGCTCTGTCTGCTGCAGATTAGGAATTAAGCCTTAGCCTAGACCTCCTGCAGCCCGAGCTACACGGCACCAAGATGCCCTCGAAAGTTCCAATCCAAGTTGCAAAAAACAAAAAACAACCCAGTTAGTTTCAGAGACAGTGACCCTGAAGAGAGCAGGGCTGGGCCAGCGAGGGCAGAGCCCTGCTGTGAGTGAGCCCCGAGCGAGCGAGCGAGCGGTGAGCCTCCCACACCAGCGACTGGGTCAAACAGGGCTTTGAAAAGCAGCACAGGCTTCACTAACTTATTTTTAGCGCCACTTTCTTTTTGTTGTTGTTCTGGTGCTAGAGATTGAACCCAGGGCCTCCTGAACGCTAAGCTTGAGATCTACCACGGAGCTACAGCCCCAGCCCTAGCTACGAGTCTCATCACACTTTGGAGGGCTTACGTTTACCAAATCTCTCAGTCGTGGCTTTGGGGGTACTGAGATGAATATCGGGGCCTCACATGTGGAGGTCACTTAACCCCAGCTTGAGTGCCTAGGCTGGCAGAACCTCACGTTCCCAATAGAACACAGTACAAGCCTATGATGTAAAATTTTCTAGTAGCCACATTAAAAAGGTAAAAACAAGTAAATTAATTGAAATATTATTTGACTATATATCTAAAACACCATTTCAACATGTAACCAACATAAGAATTTTTAATGCACTACCATTTGGTGGGGGATAAGGGTCTGGAATCCAGGGACAAGGCTTGCCTCCCGGGGCTCACCACCCGCAGCCCGGTGCCTACTGCACTGACAGCACAGGGCTGGGCGCGTGAGAGGCAAGCAGTGGCAGGTGCCCGAGAGCTCTTGCCTAGTTGAATCTTAACTGCGTCCCCCAAAAGGCACGTTGATCACCTCAGAATGTGACTGTGTGTGGATATGGGTGATTGTACACAGAACTTGTTAAAATGGGTCCTACTGGAAGTGGGTGGGCTCTGAGTCCAACATGAATGGGGTCCTTACAAGAAGAAAAAGGCTGGGAAGATAGCTCAGTGGATTAAGCACCTGCTTAGCCAAGCGCAGGGAACAGGGTTCAATTCCCGCTGGTACCACATGCCGCACTGGCCCGCCCCTGGGCAGAGTTGGCCACTAAAACTGGGCATGGTGGCACATGCCTGTAATCCCAGCTCTGGGGAGGGTGAAAACAGGAGGATCACTATGAGTCTGAGCTGCATAGTGAGACCCTGTACCAAATACATAAAAGAAAAAAAAAAAGAAGAGGAGAAGGGGACATGAGAAGCAGACCATGCAGTGCACAGTGGCAGTCGCAGTGACGGGGAGGCCGAGGCAGGAGGGGACTGCTGCCTCGACGACACAGGGCCAGCCCAGACTACCTACTGAGTTCAAGGCCAGCCTAACCTACATAACGAGACCCTGCTGTGTCTTGTTAAAAGAGATGAGCCACGCAGAGGATGCGCATGGGCGGGCCGCAGCTGCCCGCCAGCAATGTGCGAGTGGCAGAGGGGGGCAGGAGGCGGGGAGGCTCCATGTGGCCTCTGTGAAGCCCGGCCCTGCTGACACCTTGGTTCTGGACTTCGAGCCTTCCCACTTTGGAGCCCCCATCTGTGGCCGTTTGTCCTGGTGGCCCTAGGGAATGACAGCACCCCGCAATCCCCCTACCCTCTCGGGTTCATGCTGAGTGTACTTGGAAAGGGGCTCTGGAATTCAGCACTTCTGCTGACAGCATTTCTACGCAGCTCCGGTCAGCAGGCCAGAGCACTCCGCGTCTCCATGGCAATCTGAGGCTTGGGGACAGGCCGAGGGACAGATGGCTCAGGAGCGCTAGTGTGAAGCACCTCACACTTTCCTGCCCTTTTAATTTTTTACTTGCAGATCTGGAATCGAACCCAGGCCCTACACACAAGTACATGCCCCACCACAGGCCCCTAGCCCCAGTGCTGACTACTGCAGCCTGTCTCAGATCATCATAACAGGTACTGCCCCTCAAAAAGAAATTCCCATGGACACCCAAAGGCCAGCCACTCACATCTGCAGATGGGTCCCCTTCTCCTTAAGTGATGTGGTACAAACAGGTTAGTGATTAGTCTAAAAGGCACCTGAGTCACAAGCGCACACTTCAGGCAGCGGAGGGGGCGGGAGGGCCCTGCCTGGCGCTCTTTCCCCGCCTCTCCTTAGGCCCTTAAAGCTGCAAGAGCACTCAGCACCAATGCCATTACCTGGTTTACTTCCAGAGATGCCAGGTGGCCTCTTGAGGTCTGACTTCAGCTTAGATGCCAAAATAAACCTCCTGAACCACTCTTCCTTTTCTCGGCCAGTTCTCCCAAACAGGTAGAGTATCTGCTCTCGGTGGGCCGGTCGTGCTCCCTCTTGAGGGTGGGGAGGCTTCTTGGGGTCCTCGCTGTCCAGCTCTCGCTCAGCTGGCAGCTTCTCTTCGGAAATCTCCTTATCAGTTTGAGTTTTAGACATAAAGTCATCTTGTCGACCAAGCTCAATACAAATGGGGTACTTTTTGTTCCAGATTCGCTTTCTAGCCAAACTTTTAGGTACAAGATAAATCTACAAAGAAAGTAAAATGATTTATGCAATTTAAAAAAATATTTTATTTATTTATTTACTTATTTATTTGGCACAGGGCCTCACTACACAGATCGGACTCACAGTGATCCTCCTGTTTCAGCCTCCCCGGTGCTGGCACTTCAGGTGTGCCACAGCACCCAGGACTGTGGGGCTGGCACAGCATGGTGTACTGGAATCGAACCTGGGCCCTTGTGTTTGCCAGGCAGGTGCTTGGACTGCCGAGCTATCCCCCCAGCTTTCGTTTATGTACTCAGTAGTAGCTATATTGTGCGCTGATATTCATATAACACAAAGCTTACAGTATTTTTTATTAAAATGATCACTGTGAAATAATCTTTATTACCTGTCTATAACTCAATTATAGAACTGGAGTAAATGTTTAGAAATGACTTGTTATTCCTCAAAACCATTCCAGAATATGGACGTTTAAGAATTCTGCAAGAGTATAATCTTCTAGAAGTAGCAGTAAGTACATTCAGCTGATTATCATTAACTAAGTTTGGACACCAACTGTGTTTAACGATGCTGGAATTATCAATCTATATGGGGAGCTCCAGGTAGCAACAGGTGTTGAATCAAAAATCTGCACCAAAGTCACTGGTCCGAATACCATGCGGGTACAGAGAAGCACACCCACAATCCCAGCACGCGGGGGCCAAGGCAGGAGGATCACCACGAATTCAAAGGCGCCCCAACCTACACAGGGAAACCCTGCCTCAACCAGCCCCCCAATCCTACAACATACTCCTCATGACAACAGACACTGTGTGTAACGTATAGAGATGTGACTGTTCTGCACATAGAGCCTCGCTAGCAGCCTCTCTCGTGCAGCTTTTGCTTGGCTGGTGACACTCGCTCCAACAGGCCGAGTCCTGAGTGCTGAGCCCCATACCTGAGGGTGGTCCATGCACCCTGCCTGATGTGTAGGACCTAAGGGACCAGGAGTACCGGCTCCCAACCCACCTAAACTGCCAAACCAGAACCTGCACAGGAAAGTGCCTAACTTCTACCATTCTGGAGAAATTTAAAGATCATTCAGATGGGCTGTAAGGACAGAGAACCTATAGTCTTATTAATGTGCACCCAGAGTTACAGAACTACTGTTCCACAGTACACTGATCCTTAAATGACAAAAACAAAACCCCTTTTAGGGAAAGTGCAGGAATGCAACCAAGATCTCAAATGCTTTTCATGCATATAAGCCCTGCTTCTAAAATTCCTAGGGCTCACCTTGCTGTCAGAAAGGTCATAGATCTTCTGGCTGATGTAGGTGACCTCTGGCTTCGCTTCATTGTAGCTTGCCCTCCTGGATATGTTTTTATTGGGCTTCGAAAGCCGCAAGGTTCCACCCTCAAGTCGAACAAAGACTGAGTGTGTCAAAGTCGCGTGGTAAGTTTCTGGATCATAGTTGTGAATCTCATTCATCCATCCCTGATAGAGAAAAACTTGCATTAGTAAAAGCTGAGCGAACACAAATCTGATTCAGTGAAAATAATGATGGCTGTGGTATTTTGGGACACTGAAACCAAACTTAATTTGGACACTGCTGAGACTGCAAAGATGGAGTGATTTGGTGTGGTTTTGGTAACCAAAAACCTGGGTCTGGGAGAAAATGGTAATGTTCATTACTTTTAAGTAAAAGCTTCTTCCTCCTCCTCCTCGTCCTCCTCCTTTCTTTTCTTTTCTTTTCTTTTCTTTTTTTTTTTTAACTGACAAGCAAATCAAGAATTTCAAAAGCAGTGGACTAAGCACCTGCTTAGGCAAGTACAGGGACCAGGGTTCAAACCACAGCACCACAGGTCACACTGGCCCTGCCTTTGGCCAGGCTGAGGAGGCTGAAAACTGCAGGACTGCAACGAGTCTAAGCTACGTAATGAGACCCTGTACCAAATCAGAGGAGGAGGAGGAAGAGGAGGAGGAGGAGGAAGTGGTGGTGGTAGAAGAGGAGGAAGTAGAGGAGGAGGAGGAAGTGGTGATGGAGGAGGAAGAAGTGGGGGTGGAGGAGGAGAAGTGGACGAGGAGGAAGTGGAGGAAGAGAAGGAGGAGGAAGTGGTAGAGGAGGAAGTGGTGGTGGAGGAGAAGGGGGAGGAACTGTGGTAGAGGAGGAGAAGGAAGTGGGGGTGGATGAGGAGGAAAAGTGGTGGAAGTAGAGGAGGAGGAAGTAGAGGAGAAGGAGGAGAAAGAAGTGGTGGTGGTGGTGGAGGAGGAGGAAGAAGAAGAGGAGGAGGAAGTGGTGGTGGTGGTGGAGGAGGAGGAGGAGGAAGAGAAGGAGGAGGAAGAAGTGGAGGAGGAGGAGGAACAGCAGCAAGAACTTCAGAAGTTTATCTGTGTAACTGAGGAGTCGGCCTGCCCACTGGGGAGATGAGCGATCCCGCTCAGTCTGGCTCTCTCAGACAGCAAAACACAGGCTCTTCTCTCTACACACTTGCAAATAAGCTTTGAAATTTCACAATCCAAAACTCAGAAAACTTACCAAACCTTCTTTTTTTAAAGTTTGGGGTGTGTGTGTGTGTGTGTGTGTGTGTGTGTGTGTGTGTGTTTTAAAGACAGGGTCTCATTATGCCACTTAGCTTGCTTGGCCCTGCGCCCACTGCGCAGCCCGGGCTGCCTGGACTTGCTGAGATGGGCCGCTCCCGCCTCAGCCTCCTGGGCCGGGCCACCGCACCCAGCTCTAGTGCTTCCTTTTTTTTTTTTTTTTTTTTTAAGCTCTTCATTTTAACATCAGTCTAACATATGAAACCATATGGTAAAGCAGATAAAGGAGAATGAGGCATCAAATAAATAACCAACAGCATGTCGAAATCCCAAAGTACTAGGTAACAACGGGAACACTGTGTTGAGTGTGGATTTGGCACATATGAACTTACACAGTGATTTTTCTTTAAAAAGCAAACATGCTGGAGCATACACACGAAGGACAAAAGCCTAAGACACCACAAAACTGCACTAAAACTTCTCTCATAGCCATAGAGTGGCCTTCACCTCTGCACAGACCCCCGGACGGGCTGGGGTATAACACCTGCCTGGCAAGCAGTTCGATTCCTGGCACAGACACAAAGCTCCCCAGAACAGCACTGATGAGCCCCATTCCCACCCCTTCCGCCCTCCACTCCGGAGGGTAACGAGCAGGGCGGTGCGGAGGATCCCTACCTGGCGCTGAGCCCTCGTTTCCAGGCTGTGTGGGTCTCACACCAACATACTCACTGGAGAGCATGTGACTGTGAAGACCCTCAGAGCCCCATGCCTGAGGCACGCGTGTGCGTGTCCATGCACGTATGATGTCATTACACACAGGCCTTACCACGCCAGGCAAGTGCTCTACCATGAATTCTGAAACACAGTCTTCCTAAATTAGCCTGTGGATCTCCCCGCATCCTTCTATTAAAGTGTGCACTGAACTCACGTGCTGAGCAAAGCGCCCGGAGTTGTGTCCGATTTTGTACCAGGACTGGGTCTAAGGGTGCGGCTCAGCGGCAGAGCGCCTGCCTGGCACGTTCAAGACCCAGGGTTTCATCCCAGCCCCACACCCACGTGAGGGCATCCACTCAGCCACACCCTGGGTTATGAATTAAGAAGGGATTTTATTCTTGACTCGAGTGGCCCCCAAAGAGGGGAGGACTAAGTCTTTATTCCACCATCCTATAGCTCTGTTAGAATAACTGTAAAAGTTATTGCAATGGCACAGTATTACAATAATATTACAGCAGGGCCGGGGACATGGCTCAGAGGAATAAACGCTTCCCTGGCAAGCACAAGGGCCTGAGTTCAATCCCCGGTTCTGCCAAAGGAAACCCCCCCCAAAAAAACAATAATATTATAGATACTAGACATTTCAGTGTGAAAGATAATTTCAGTGTGAAGTAAAAATGGACAAATACAGCTCTAATATTTAGGAGAAGAGGATATAAAACTTATGGACCACTTCATCACCTCAGGAGATTCTTCTTCCCAGGGAGTCGCTGGCCAGGAGCAGATCTAACCGCAAGCAGTGGCCAAAGGAAGAGGGTGAGACCGGGTGGCCACAAAGAGCAGCGAGCCTGCACGGTGGCACGCCTGCAGTCTCAGCACATGCATCACTGCCGCGGCCACGGCCAGCCCGGGCTGCAAAGTGAGCTGGAGGCCACCCGATCTCAGCAAGCAAACAAGAACGAAAGAAACAGAAAAGAAAAAGACCAGCGTGGTGAAGCAAAGGGAAGAGATGCAACGCAAAGCACAGGGTCTGGGAGCAGACCTCACTGTCAGAGCGCCTGGCTAGGTGGTACATTTTTAAGAGGAAAATAGTTCTAGAATACATTCTTTGGTCACATTTGTTTTTCCTATAGTAAACATATGATGCTGAATTACATTCACTGACTTTGATTTCTTTTTTACTTTAGGGAAAGGTCTACAGGGTGTTCAGGGCCTCACTACTAGATCAGACTCATAGTGATCCGCCTATTAACAGCCTCCCAAGTGCTGGGATTACAGGCGCGCGCCACCACACCCAGTCTCAACTGCTGTCTCAGCGCATCCCGGGGATCAAGCCCCTGGCCCGTGTCTGCTTGCAGGCACTTTAATCCACTGAGCTATTTGGCCGGTCCTCCACTGACTTTGAAATGCTGGCTCGTCCTTGCATTTTCAGGGTGAGGGACATACCGGTCATGGTGCGGTGAAGCGGGATCATACCATTTCCTGGGCTGACTCTACGCATGTCCCGACTCCATGCTCAGTGGTTTCATGTTGACAGTATGCACCTGGCAGAGGTGAGAACTCCTACAGGCAGAAGCCAGCAAGCAGTACAGACCAAGGCTCCCCTCCTTTTTTGTTTCTCTGTGAAGCCAGTTGCCCACCAGCACAATCCTATGATTTATCTATCCTCCCTCAAACTTCTTTGGTGTTTGGGATTAAAACCTACGTCTTCAAATCAACAACAACACACTACCAGTTCTGTAGGAACATTAAAAATACTTCAAGCCAGGCATGGTGTCATATATGTCTACAATCCCAACACTCTGGAAGGCTGAGGCAGGAGGATCTCAAGTTCAAGTCAAACCTGGGCAACTTAGCAAGTTAGTGGGACCTATTTCAAATTAAAAATTATGAAAAGGGCTGAGAATGTGGCTCCGTGTGGCAGCCTTGGTTTCAATCCCCGGTACTAGGAAAAGACCATCATTTATGGACACACTTAGCGGGGGTCCGGACGGAGGGCTGCGTGCACTTGTTCGCTCATGGAATAGACGCGCGCAGTGAGAGCCAGCCGGACTCGGCCTCCGCCTACTAAGCACTGCTTCTAAGAACCCTGGACGCGGCGAACAAGGGCAGCTTTTTACAGTGTTTCAGGGACCCGGGGCCTGGGCCAGCAGTGGCAGGAGCTACCCCTTCAGGGTCCTCACCCAGCGCCACAGTGCTGATACGAGAAGCCAGTTATCCTCCCTGCGGACCTCTCTGACACATGCAGGCCACCCTCTACCACTTGTCAACTCCCAGGAAGTGCCCAACAACCTACTCGAGTAATGCAAGGAGGGCACACTGAGTCAGACGCACACAGCCCTCCCTGTAGCTGCAGTGTGGAGGTGAAAATCGGGCAAGGCCTTCCTCTGGGAGAAGCGCTGGCTCCAAAGCCCCTCTTCCAGCAGCAGGGGCCGCTTCCTTTTCCCACCCCAATCTTTTCAGGTCTTCAGGTGCTATCATGTTGCCCTTTCATCTTCTACTTCCTCCTTTTTGAACTACAGTAATTTTTTGTATACTAAAGATCAATAGCGTCTGAGTCCATCACCCACAAACCAAGACTCAAACTGCACATCTACTGAGAGTAGCCATCTGTTGGCACGAAGTGACCACCCCCCACCTGGCCGCTGGCACCGACCGCACTCCTCGGCCGGCGAAGCACCTGCCAGGCTCAGGCACAAGGCCCCCTCCACCCTGGCCGGCTATCGGCTGCACGGCGCTGAGATTCCCCCACATACACACTCACTTCCTACACGAGAAGGAGCCAGCGCAGCCTCCCAGCCAACTTTATCTCATGCGCCCTGCCTCCCACCGCATGCTCTGCACCTAGGCCACAAGGGTTTCTCTCTACAATGAAACCACTTTTCTCAGGTAGAATTCACATAATAAAATGAACAAATTTTAAGCAAGTGATCTTTAATCTGCTAATATGAATAGTAGCTGGCATTTAAGCTCACACAGGACGTTCCAGTTACTTCAGGCACGTTATCTACTCCACCTGGGCAAATTCCCAACAGCTTCACAGGAAAAGCAGCGAGGGAGGGTCAGGGATTTGCCTGCAACTCAGGGCAGCACGGCTGGGGCTGACAGGCAAGCGCAGGCTCGCTCAGCTCTGTGGTGCAGCCCACACTAGGGCAGGCCCTGGCTACCCTCAGGGCAGGGCAAAGGTGACCCTTCCCCCAGGAAGCCTCCCCTCCCTTGCTCTTATACGCACCTGTCAGTGG